GCTGGACGCCCCGGGCCTCGGCGAGGCTCGGCCTCCCGTCAGCAAGGCCTTGGGGACCTCGGCCCGACGAGGGTGGCGGCCGCGGCGACGCCTCGGGGGCGGCCAGCCCTTGGGCCAGCCTGACCGCCGGCCGCACAGTGGGCCAGAAGACCGGCGGAGGCGGACAAAACTGAAGACGCGTTTTGAGCTCCAGAGTCGCTAAGCAGGACTCGAATCGAACGTGTGACCCCACCAATGGATTGCTCTCCGAACGGGGAATCCATTGGTGGGGTCACACGGTCGGTTGTTGTGTCAGTTAGCGACTCTGGAGCTCAAAACGCGTCTCGAATTTTGGCCGCTCCAGCGGTCTTCTGGCTCACTGTGGGCCGGCCGTCGGAACAAGGGGTCTCCATCCCGGACTGGCGGCCACCGGCCTCGTCGAGCGGAAGACACAAGTAGGGGCACTCGGCCTCGGCCGCGCCGACAACAACCGCCGCCGAGGTTGTGTGTGTTTGCCGGGGCGCCCCAGGCCTGCCCCAGGCGCGTCTGACGGCCGGGCCTCCGCGGCAGCCGGGGCACTGTCCGGTAGAGGCGGTCAAAACCCCGGACGCGTTTTGAGCTCCAGAGTCGCTAAATGGGACTCGAACCGAACGTGCGACCCCACCAATGAATTGCTCTCCGAACGAGGAATCCATTCATGGGGTCACACGTTCGGTTCGAGTCCCATTTAGCAGACCGGTGGAGGTGGTCAAAATCCCGGACGCGTTTTGAGCTCCAGAGTCACTAAACGGGACTCGAACCGAACGTGTGACCCCACCAATGGATTGCTCTCCGAACGAGGAATCCATTGGTGGGGTCACGCCCTGTTCGAGCCCTGTTCAGCGACTCTGGAGCTCGAAACGCGTCTGGAGTTTCGACCGCCGGCGCTGATCTTCTGGCCCACTGTGCGGGGCATGCGGGGTTCGGTGGGGTGCACGTCCTCTCGTGCTCACCGGGGCGAATACGGCCTTCACCACGGCCAGAGGGAGGGACACACGTCAAACAATAAAAGCAGCAGACGGCCTCGGACACGCTACGCGACGCTACGCGACGCTACGTGTGCCGGCTGGCCGAGGCCGCCCCCCTGGCGGCCCTGGCGGCGGGGCGGACGCAGTGGTGCGGTAAAACGGATGGAGTCGAACACGCCGCTCCCTCCATCGCCGCCTCGGCCCCGGCGGCCCCGAGCAAGCCGTGCAGAATCATCGCACCGGAAATGAAGTCCGCACCTCGCGGCCGAGGCCAAGCCCCACCTCCAAGCAGGCCAGCACCCCGCGAGGCCGAGATCGGTTTGTCTCCGTCACGCTCGTTAACAGCACACTACTCCGAGTTTTCGGTCCCGTTTTCATGAATCGTCAGAGCAACTTGAGTGCAATCAGAAATTGAAATGGCCGAGGCCGTGGTCTTGCGAGACGCAGACTCCACTTGAGGCTCAGGCCTCTGCCAGCGCCAGGAGCGCCCGGCCGGGCTGGCACGCTGCGATAGCGAGGGCAGTCCCCCCTGGCCGAGGCGGGGCGGGGCGGGGCAGGGCGGGGCGGGGCGGGGCGGGGCGGGGCGGGGCCCTCCCGCACGCGGACAAGTGCGTCATAAGTACAGGTTATGCGGTATTTTATTGTGCTCCCGCCCTGTCGCCGAGACCACTGGCCCAGCCGGCCCATAGTGGGCCAGAAGACCGGTGGAGGCGGCCAAAACTCTAGACGCGTTTTGAGCTCCAGAGACTCTAAATGAGACTGGAACCGAACGTGTGACCCCACCAATGGATTGCTCTCCGAACGAGGAATCCATTGGTGGGGTCACCCGTTCGGTTTGAGTCCTTTTAAGCGACTCTGGAGCTCAAAACGCGTCTAGAGCTTTGGCCGCGTCCACCGGTCTTCTGGTCCACTGTGTGGCCCGGCCCGCCTTGCCGCTGCGCCGCTGGAGGGCCCTCACCGCCCTCGCTGTATCGTGAGTGGTCACGCCGCGCCGGCCAGGACGTGCGAGATGCCCCAGATTTGCTCGGCTTGTTGAATACTTCTCCAACTAGTGTTTGTCGTGTCGCGGTGGCCGAGAGGATAACGCCTTGGTACTGCGATAGGAAGCCACGGGTTCAAAACCAGAAACGAAATTTTTTTTGTTGGTTTCATGTTGTTGTGTTAATGCTAAGACCCGGCGTTCCGCTATTTGTCACTCTTTTTTCTCCTTTCTTTCTTCAAAGCCCGCGAGGCGTCTGCAGTGCGAGTGAAAGGGAGTGAAAGGGAGAAAGAGACAAAAGAGAGGATGGGATGGCACGGACGTTACCCGCGGGATTCCTCGCGCTGTTTCAGCCTCGCGTATAATATCGATAAAAGCCCGAAAAGCGACATCACAGAGGGCGCGGCGGCGCGGCGGCGCGGCCAAGTCGGTTGGGGCGGGGCTGCTTTAAGGGAAAGCAGATTACAGTATAGGGTCGGAGGGGATCAAGTGCAATAAAAATACCGCGTTTCCCGCCACGACGGCGCATCGCAGATTAAAAGCTAGCACTGCACGCCCACGGCCCCCCCACTCTAAAAAATCCCTCTGTCCCACAGTGGGTCGGAAGACCGGAGCAGGCGGCCGAAACGCTAGACGCGTTTTTAACTCCTGAGTCGCCAAATGGTACTAAACGTGTGACCCCACCAATGGATCCCTCGTCCGTAGAGCAATCCATTGGTGGGGTCACACGTTCGGTTCAAGTCCTGTTTAGTGACTCTAAAGGCAACTCAAAACAGGCTCGGGATTTTTACCACCCCCACAAGTCTTCTGGCCCACTGCGCATCCCCCCCGCCCTCCACTCACGCGTCCCCCTTCCTTGTCCGACGCAAAGTGACCACAGCCCGTTCCATTCCAGCCAGGATGGCCGAAAAAGGCCGAAGGTGGTTTGCCGGAGTTCGGTCCCCACGGCCCCGAGCACCGCGACGGCCCCCCAGAGGGCCCCGGCCGCCCCTTGGCCCCCTCGGCCCCCTCAGCCCCTCCAGGACGCCGCGACTCAGCAAAACAGGGCTTGTTTGAATATGAATGGTTTGATCGTAAATGTCGTATACCTCGCTGGGCGTGACACAGCCCGCGTCTCGGAAGGGGTGAGGGCAGAGCCGCACTGCGAGCGAGAGAGAGGGGCAGTGAACTGGGCCATGGGCTACACCAAGAGAGAGAGAGAGAGAGAGAGAGAGAGAGAGAGAGAGAGAGAGAGAGAGAGAGAGAGAGAGAGAGAGAGAGAGAGGCGAGTTTCGAAGGGTCGGCCAGTCCAGTCCGCCTCATGCACGTACGTTTGCGAACTGCGATCACGTTCCGCTGGTAAAGTGGCCAACTCGGCCAGAGCGAGGGTTCAAAAGAGGAAATCGACGGTTCGTGATTTTCCCCCTTTTTTTTTGTTCCGAAGAGCTATGTACTCACTATCATCAAGTCATAGTACGCTTCTAAATGCATGCCTGCAGCACTGCGCTCGGCTGTTTCGATTCAAAGTACAAAACCGAAAGAACGCACTCACACAAGCTCACACGCACACAAGGGCGGCTGACATGCACAATACTGGGATGCACATGTTACACTGCTGTGCAACACAATCCCACTCCATCGGACGCGTGCCGTTGGAAAATTCAGAATAATGGAACGGGAGGGGCTTTAGAAGGCATTGTTGCAACGCCGGATGGGTCCACCAAAGAGTGGGGTGGGGGAGGGGAGAGAGAGAGAGAGAGAGAGAGAAAGAGAGAAGGAGAGAGAGAGAGAGATCACACAGCGGCACTGTGGTGCAGGACCAAAGAGGGACGGGAGAATGCAGTTCCTCATCAACTTTGGCCGAGAAAGAAGAACTTTTCAGTCGGCATCAGCATCAACATCAGCGGCGTGGCACACTGCAACAAAGCCACGGCCCCATCGGTCTAACTTGAGCCCATTCGGGGCCACGTTACGCGGCTTTGACTGTCAATGGCGGCGCGGTGGATGGCGGCCGGTGGTCGCGTCTCAGCCAGCAAATGGCCGGGCCGTGTCGCCGTGGCTGTAACTCTGACTTTGACTGGGCCGGCCGGACTGCCGGAGTCCGGCCTGGAGTCCAGCAGTGAGTCCGTCTGTCCAGCCTGGAGTCCAGCAGTGAGTCCGTCTGTCCAGCCTGGAGTCCAGCAGTGAGTCCGTCTGTCCAGCCTGGAGTCCAGCAGTGAGTCCGTCTGTCCAGCCTGGAGTCCAGCAGTGAGTCCGTCTGTCCAGCCTGGAGTCCAGCAGTGAGTCCGTCTGTCCAGCCTGGAGTCCAGCAGTGAGTCCGTCTGTCCAGCCTGGAGTCCAGCAGTGAGTCCGTCTGTCCAGCCTGGAGTCCGTCCAGCAGGTCAAGGTCACCAGATAACGCCTTGCCTTACTGGGCGTCCCTATTGCTTGCCATTACCGCAATGGTTTCCTCCGTGGCCGAGCGCGCTGATGCGTTGCTCCGGATAGTCGTGGTCCACGGTTCGAACCCCAGTATGTTCACTGGCTATGTCGAGACTACGGCCATGATGGTTCTGGTATATGAGGTCTTGCATTCAAAGTCTGTGGAGACACTGCTGGTATATGAGGTTTGCATTCAAAGTCCTGTGCCTACATGAACGCTTAAGGTTTACTGAACAGCGCTGATCTTAGAAATTTCACGTAGAGCTCATTCGGATACATTAACTCCGGTTTTCGGAAAATAACACTTTGGGAAATCCGAGGGGTGAATCACTCAGCGTTCTGGTGTACACATGAGTACATGATTACGGGTGAGTACACCTTGCTTTACTCATAAATTTCAAAATTTTAAACGTCTTAAGGCTTTATTTGGCGTTTTTGAAGGCACTCGACGTTAAATCGGTCGAAAAACTAGAGAATTTCACGTTTTTAAAACTTGGGAGTACACTGAGTACGGGCAAATTTGTACACAAGAGTACACTAGTGTGATTCACCCCTCGGGGAAATCCCCAACAGCTTCGGAACGCAACGCACTTTGTGGAGCTTTTCAAATTTATTTCTAGCGGTGTGGTACTTACCGTGCACGTCGACGCACCCCGTCTGCTTCTTCATCTCCGACGTGTTGATCTGGCACATGTAGCAGCCCGCGTCCGACACCTTGACCTGCCGGATGTGCAGCTGCCAGGTGCGCAGCGTGTCGTGCGAGACGGACACGCGCGCGTTGTGCGTCACCACGCGGTTGGCCAGCGCCAGGATCGTCTGGTCCGACACCTTCATCCAGCCCACCTGCAGGAGAGAGGACAGTGGAGTTAGTACGCAGGCTTGATAGATTGCACCACAATGAAAGACTGAGTAAACGCATGAATGACTGGCCAAATGAATGAATGAATGAATGAATGAATGAATGAATGAATGAATGAACGCACGAATGAATGAACGTACGAATGGACGAATGAATGAATGACTTCATGGATGAATAAACGCATGAATGACTGAATTAATTGGTATACAAATGAATTATAATATCAACATAAATAAGAAAAATAATGACAAAAGTTTGATTTTTTTTTTCGCGCCAAAACTGCGCCACCGCAAGGAATGCAGTGAAGGGGCCGCCAGATGACGCTGCGGTCGTGGCTCATTTCCTTGTTGGCGGAATATCGGTGGCCTCGGCCGCGCCCCGGCCATGCCCCAGCCGTTTGCTGGCACTTCGGCAGCGCATCTCCGCGGGGACGAAGGCGGGACGAAAGCACCGCGAAAATCGTGCCGACATTCCTCCCGAAAAACCGATACAAGGCTAAGCCGAGGCAAAGCCGGCGCAACGCAGGGGGCCAACTCGAGGAATTTCATATTCGTCTTTTGTTTTGCCTTTGCCGCCTTTAGTGCGGCCTCGACGCGGCCTCGACGTCCCCGCGACCGCCTTTGTCCGCCTGCCTCGTCGGCTGGCTGCCCCCGCGTTTCAATTGTCATCGCCTCGTCGCCATAAACCGCGCGCGTCATCAGCGCGGTCATCGCGGCCCCAGCGCCAAAGAGAAACACGGCGACAACGGCCGCCAGCAGACTGAGAGGCGTTCTCGTCGCTCTGTCTCGCTCGCACTCATCCCGGACAGAGCGACGAAAACGAACCTCAGTCCACAGGGCGCGGCGCCAGCGCGGCCAGCGCAGGCCAGGCCGTAGGCCGACTCTATAACCCATTACATCCAACGGCTACTCTGCTTTCCACCACATCACAGGAGCGGGCCGCCCCCCGGGGGGCAGCGGGGTCGCGGGGGCCCCCCGGGCGGCCCCAGCAGGCAGTCCCGGCCCCGGGTGGCCCCCGGGCCAGTCAACAATAATCATCCTAACAGCTTCTGCCCCCCAAAGCCAGGCCCGGCCAGGCCTCGTTGTTGTTTCGCGTTGACAAATCTGGTATCGCACTGGCATTCCTCCTTTCATGGCGCCGCGCCGCGCTGGATGCAATGTGAGTACACACACACACACACACACACACACACCACACACACACACACACACACACCACGTGCCATGTCCAGCGACCCGGCGCACCAAATATGCATGAAACTCGACACCCCTGCGCCAGCCTGGCGAGCCGACCATACCGACAACGTCCCCGCAAAATCCCAACATAGATACCAAACAAGTTTTACAGCGAGCAAAATTACATTTTACAAAGGTCGCGGGCGTGGACGGACACCGTGGTCATCGAACCCCGGGGGGAACTACTGGACAACGGACGCGCCAGGCGTCCGGCTGATGCAACTTCGCAAACTCCGCCCCGGAGCTGTGGTGTACAGTGGTGCAGACTTTACGGGGCGGCCGTCCGAAACGTAACGCGCTGCCCGGCAGCGCCCGGGCAGCCTGACGCGTTCGACCGGACCGATGAGAGCGCCGCTCTCCGGGGAGTGATTCCCCTCTCACGGCGCCCCTTTGAGCCCCCAAAGGGGCGCACCTGCCCGTGCATTCGGGGGAAATGACTCAGGGAGTGTCCATGAGAGAGCCTGTTGCACGCCGGGCCCACCACTTGACCTTCTTCCCCCCTGTGGTCGGCTGCCGCTTTCCCCCCGCAGAGGTGGTCGGGGTGAATTAATTAACACTACTTTATACAGACGCGAGGGGCGTGTGTCGAAGCGCCCATCACACTTCCGGTAAAGGTGTGTGTGTGTGTGTGTGTGTGTGTGTGTGTGTGTGTGTGTGTGCGTGTGTGTGTGTGTGTGCGTGTGTGTGTGTGTGTGTGTGTGAGCGCGTGTTAGTATTGGCGCAACGCACGTGGAACTCTGTTTTGATGGGGTTCGGCAGGGCGGCTCGGCGCAGCTACACTGGTGGCCCCCCTGGGAGGCCTCCGACGGGGCTCAGGGCCAGTTTGACCCTGCAATCAGTCCGCTACAGTGTACCCTGCTGGGTCACTACGCTGTGGAACGCGCACGCGCGCGGGTATGTGACAGGGCGTTGCGCGTGTGTGCGTGCGGTGGCCAGCGGCGGCAAAATTTATGACTCGCAGCAGATATACGTAAAGCGTTCCTGCGGTGGGGTGTGAGCGTCGAGGGGTGAAGAGAAGAGAGAGAGAGAGAGAGAGAGAGAGAGAGAGAGAGTAAGAGAGAGAGAGAGAGAGAGAGAGAGAGAGATGGGGGAGGAAGGGCGGAGGGGGGAGGAAGGGGGGAGGAAGGGGGGGGGGGGGGGGTCCCGCGTGCCGCACGGTGCCGCACCACTACAACCACCGCTGCAGGAATTCGTGCTGGCGAGGATATGGCGCGGAATCCACACATTCCGTCAGATGACGTGCAGCCGCACTGGGGTGGCCCGCCTGGCCTGCCTGGCCCCACTGGGGGTGCCGCTGCCTTCGCCCGGCACTGCGATGCACCTGCCTGCCGTCGCGCCACAAGACGGACCCCACAGTGGACCGCCCGAGTGGGGTGCGCCTCCACTCCAGCCGAAGCCAAGCGGACCGTGAAGCTCCCCGATCCATCTGTCCATCTGCGGGCGAAGCCTCAAACGGCCCGCCGCGTCACGCGGCCGCTCCAACGGGCAAACATTCCCACGGTCCGTGGCCGGCCCACAGTGGACCAGAAGACCGGCGCAGGCGGCCAGAACTCCAGACACGATTCTTGCTCCAGAGTCACTAAATGGTACTGAAACCAGACGTGTGACCCCACCATTGGATTCCTCGTTCGGAGAGCAATCCATTGGTAGGGTCAGACGCTGGCTCGAGTACCATTTAGTGACTCTGGAACTCAAAAAATCGGGATTATGACCGCCTCCAACGGTCTTCTGGCGTCCAGAATCTGGACCAGTGTACGGCCTGTCTCTATGCCCACGACAGAGGGACCTCGGACTAGCCAAACCTCACGAAAATTGTTTTATGATTTCAAAATTGTTTCCAGTTGTGTGTGGTGTTCGCTGCGGCATGACACCAAGCTCACCCTCCACAGCCTGACTCCGGCTGTGGCGGCGGCTGATGGAGCCGTGAGACGCCGCGCCACGCCGAGCGTGTAGCCATGAGCCAGATAGGGTTAATTACGGGTGACATTAGCATACACTGTAACTGCACAAGTTGTCGCATTCGCCGCCAGGTGTGACGCAGTCACGCAGCGCCGCCGGAGCGATTCACGCCCCGTGGCAGGGCGTGGCGTGGCGGGGCGTGGCAGGGCGTGGCCTGGCCCTCCCGAGCGTGATGCGATACACATCGCCGCTGTCTTCCCCCCCTCCTCTCTCTCTCTCTCTCTCTCTCTCTCTCTCTCTCTCTCTCTCTCTCTCTCTCTCCTTCTCTCCTTTCCTCCCCCCGGCACGTTGGCCCCGCCATTCTCCATCGCACTCACTGAGCTGTCGCCGAGGCTGTCGCCGCCTGCAGCGTAGGCCACAGTGTCGCAACACGGCGCACGGCTGCGCGGCGTGTTGCCTACCCCGCGGCTGGCGGGCGCCGTGGCCGGACGGCACAGCCGCTCCACACTCCCATTCGACGAGAGTGACGCCATTTTCGTTAGAATGTGAGCTGCTTTGTCACGACTGTTTGAAGATGACGTCACATTCAGCTTGGGGATACACGAAACAAACTTCTGGTTTTCACAAAAGGGTAACAGCTGTGGAAAATTCCGTACGCCGTTATTTTAAATTCAAACCATTTCACGGTACTTCGTTGTTACTTAAACCTTCTGTCACGTTGTTTTAACGCTTAATTTTACGATATATCAACCTAATTTTGTTTTTTTCGTCGTCATTTCAACGTCACTTCAGAGGAAGACTTAGCACCAATATTAAAGCTGTTTTCCCCTCCCTCGGTTTTGAATGAAACACTTTTTTTTTTTTTTTTTTTTGAGGGTACGAATATGGCGCTACTATCCGCTCGTGATAACCACTCCAGCACTTAGCGGGCTGCGATTGCGGCACCTCGTCTCCGCGCCATGGCCATGAGGCGCCACGGGGCGCCATGGGGGGAGGGGTGGGGGTGCGATTTGAGGGCGCCAACGGCCATACCCGCGCAGCATCGCGCGCAGCAGCACTGTTATGGCGTGACACCTGCACTGCAGCTAGCCCGGCCCGCCGCCGCCACTACACCCTGGAATCCCGAAATACTGCAACCCCCGAAATGCAACAGCCCCCGAATAGCTGCAACCCCGAAATGCAGCAACCCCGAAATGCTGCAACCCCGCTGCGATTCCAAAATGCTGCAACCCCGCTGCAATTCCGAAATGCTGCAACTCCGATATGCTTCAACCCCGAATTGCTGAAACCCCGAATCACTGCAACCCCCGAAAATGCTGCAACCCCGACATGCTGCAACCCTGAAGTGCTGCAACTCCGAAATGCTGCAACCCCGGGAAAGCTGCTACACTCTCCCAAAAAAATGTCCTGTAAATGCCGTTAATTTATTACCAGTTTTCACTGTAGGTCAATTCACAGCGTTTGCTGTGAACTTGTTCACGGCATTCACTGTGATATCGGTTACAGTGTTCACTGTGATCTGGTCCCCAGTAAACACTGTGAGTTTGACGCCGCTGAGCACCAAAGTACTGCAAATCAGGCTCCAATTCACGGCGTTTACTGTGGCCACCACAGTGAACACTGTAACCGAGAACACAGTGAATGCCGTGAACTAGTTCCCAGCAAACGCCGTGAATTGCATAACAGCAAACATTGGTAATAAATTAACGGCGTTGACAGGACATTTTTTGTAGAGTGTATTACGAAATGGTGCAACCCCTAATGCTGCAACCCTCAAAATGCTGCAACCCCCAAAAAGGGGCAACCACCGAAATGCTGCAACCCCAAAATGCTGCAATCCCTCCAGATGC